CCAACCCCCTAAAAAAAACCCAAAATACAAACCAAACCATGGCATGTTCTTTTTTTTCACGCAGTGTGCCCTTAAAAATACATAAATACAATATTTTATTAAAACATACTTTTAGAGTAATCGAACGAAGAAAGAGCAAGGTCAACCTAATTAAACAAACAACAAAAACAATTAAGCAAACAAACAAACAATGGAAGAGAAAATAAAGAAACCAGAGTAAATAAAAGAAGAAAGAAAGGACACAAAACAAAGGGTAACATTGAGCATGACAAAGCAGCAAAATACTTGTGGTGTTAAAACTTGTGAGAAGCACTGGTGACCTCAGCCGGGATCATGTTCCGAAAGCCAGCATCTAGCGTACTGCTCGAGGCAGCTCCACGCTTGGCCACCTCTCGGAGATGTTCGTTTCGGAAACTATCATAGCTGATCTCCAGATTGTTCTTATGGGTGTCGTTGTTGTTGACAGAGCTGTCTGTGCATGTGGTGACGTCATGGCTCCGTTCCGGAGCCGAGGGACTCGCTGCCGAGGCGTGCGTTCGAAAGATGCCTCCTCCTTTCCCGTAGTGTTGATGAGAGTAACGACTGGAGAAATTGTGGCCGTTGATGACATCAGGATGGTGACTGGTATTGCTGTGGCTGTTGTTGTTGCTGCTGCTGCTGTAATGGTGCTGTTTTTGCTGTTGATATTGTTGTTGTTGTTGTTGCTGTTGTTGTCGTTGATGTTGGTGGTGATGGTAGCCGGAACTACCGTTAACATGACGTTGGTACTGATGCTGATGTTGAAATGCTTGGGACTCCTGCTGGACATGAGTAGCGTGATGATTGTGGTAATAGTGCTTCTGCTGCTGCTGTTGCTGCTGCTGCTGTTGCTGCTGTTGTTGTTGCTGTTGTTGTTGCTGTTGTTGCTTGCTGTTTCCACTGCTTTGCTGGGCGTGTCCTTTGTGACTGCTTCTCGACTCCGACGTCATTATATTGTAGTGCTTGTTTCCGCTAGCGCAATGAGGGCTCTTGCTATGGCCTATCAACCCAAAGGCGTAGGGTGAGATGTGATCTTTAGAGCTGTGCGCAGTCCTGCTTCCGTCCATACTATCTTCTTCAGAAGGCTGGGTACTTGAATCCTTTCTATACGAATGCTGCTGATCGTGAACGTGGTGCGGGGTGCCTACTCTGGAACTGGACTTGTTATAGAATCCATTGGTGTCGTAAGAAGGGATGGGTATAGAAGAGATGTGTTGAACACGTGACACATCAACGTTAGCGTCGTTATCAGGAGATATGTGACGGTCGTATATATGCGAGGCGCCGTGGGAACTTACGCCAGACCTGTAGTTATGTCCATTGTACTGTCCGCTGGGAGGGGACGGTTTCCCTTTGTAGAAATGATACCCCGAAACGCCTTTTCGCCCCTTTTCGTATTCGCCTTTTCGTCCCTTCTCGAATTCACTTTTCTTCGTGTTGGGAGTGTGAGATCGTGATTTCCCGAAGTTTCCGTGATCCTTGCTGCTGGGAATGTCCCCATACGCCGACTTTTCGCTCTTGCCAAGAGGAGGGTGGAAAACGAAACTGCCCGTGATGATTGAAGGGTCAACCCTGAGTTTACCGTCGGTTAATTGCCCGCCACGACCAGGGGAATGGTGCGAGAAGTCGCCGAATCTGTTGTCCACGGAGTCGTCCGATGACGTCAGTAGATGCTGCTCTTGGTACGTGGTGGAGGCCTCGTATGGTCGCGTGACGTAAACCTGGGGAAATACAGATGGCGTCACGTGATAACGATTTAATTTAGCACACAATAAATTTTGAAATACATGTATATTAAAGATGTATTTTAAGAAGGAGAATCTCCAAACAAAATGCCCAGCCCTGATAGTCTTTTCTTTTCCTAATTTGTTTTGTAAGTGTTTTACGGCGCTCGCAACTGCATGAGGTTACATGAGCACGCGGGACACATTAAACATTTTCAGTTGGTAGGACATTTTGAATTTTGCCCGGATGGCGGCGGAAGCCTACTGTAATCGATTTTAGACCACCAAGGGAACTTTAATCGTGCGCAACTTGTACACAGGACCTCCAAGATTTTTCTCTCTTGTCCGAGAAGGCTAGGTGTAGATATTTCTTATCAGAAGATCAGGGGTGTGGCTGAACCTGATAGCCCGAATGACCGAGACAAATTTCTAACAAGGAGATGAATAAAGATTGTTATTGTCATTACCAAACCTCAAGAAAAGTGGCATAAGTTGTCCAGTGGTTAAGTTATCGACCGAACTCGTAATTGTGAGATCGCGGGTTTCTGAATCTAAGGTTCAGCTTGGTCTGACGTTTTGCCCTTTCAAAAGTGGGCACTTTACGTGAATTCTTCCATTTATCTAGGATTCATACTGAAATTGTCGACGCTGGATTCCAACCTGAAGCAAATACATGTACATTATACGTGCGCTTTAGAGTATGACGATGTTAATAGGTTTTCTTAGGTAGATTGTGATAGGGTAGACAGACAGACAGACAGGCAGACAGACAGACAGACAGACTATGGAAGAGATATCATCATCATCATCATCATCATCATCATCATCATCATCATCATCATCATCATCATCATCATCATCATCATCATCATCATCATCCTCATCATTTGCTACGGTATGTACTTACATCTGTGTATGGATTCCCATAGGCTCTGGTGCTATGTTGGGGTCTGGCATAGTCGTAAGCATACAGGCCTGTGCCCCATAAGCTGTGGTAGCGCAGCGGGTATGGGAACTGGCGGAGACCCGGGTATCTCGAATGCATTCGATGGCGGAGTCTGTCAAAAATATACTTATTATTTAGACCGTAACAGATAGATAGATAGATAGATAGATAGATAGATAGATAGATAGATAGATAGATAGATAGATAGATAGATAGATAGATAGATAGATAGACCGATAGACAAAAAGATAGATAAATAGATACATACATACCTACATAGATAGATTGATAGATAAATAGATAGATAGATAGGTAGAGAATGAGAAAGATAGAGAGAGAGTGTGTGTGTGTGTGTGTGTGAGAGAGAGAGAGAGAGAGAGAGAGAGAGAGAGAGAGAGAATGAGAAAGATACATGTATGTTGCATAATCATGGACGCCATTTGTATTTAACGCTATCAGTGTTTCCTTTGGATGTTAGATAAAAGACGCACAGAAAGAGAAGTAAAGTGTGCTAGGGGTCGCAAACTGGCACGCAATATAATGTACTCGTCCCCTCCCCCTCCTGCTTCCCCCTTCCTCTTCCTCCTCCTCCTACTGCTCCTATTCCTCCTCACCCCCTCCTTCGCTTTCTCCTTATGCCACTTCAACTTTTGCAACTGGTAATGTATGTACTTCTGAGAACACTTTCATACTTATAGCAGAGAGGGTTTACAGTAACACTGTATTACTCTAAAACTATCTGCTTATAGCATACTTTATTGTCTTTTAAATAATATGGTAATGGATTTTAGTATATTTAAGTGCCTCTTGATAAAACGTTCATACTTTTAACAGAATACGTTTTTGCTTTATTCTTACTAACGTGTCTTTTGAGAATACGTTCATGCTTATATCATACTTTAATGTCTCTCGAAAATACGCTAATTAATTTAGCATACTCGGATGTGTCTTGGCTAAAACAGCACGTGGACATGGATGGCTGATGCCACAATAAATAAATTATTGATGGTCAGATGTCTCTTGAGAACAATATTATGTTTATGCTTTTTAGCATAATATGTGCGTCTCTTAAAATACCTTCACGCTTATAGCACTCTTGAGTATTTTGTGTTGTGTGTCTCTTAAAATACATGTACCTTTAAATTTTTAGCACACCTGAGTATTGTGCTGTCTGTGTCTCACCTTTTCCTGAGTGACCAATACTTGTAGGTGGACACAACGATCAGGAGTAGGGCCACCAGGGCAAAGGCAGCGACTGCAATGACCAGAATGAAGTCTGTGCTGGTGTCTTCGTGTGCCTGGCATAAACGATGATAGTGTTAATAAAGATGATGATTTAGATGGTGACTGTAGTAGGACAAGAGATCATTTGTGGTGGTGTGGGGTTGTAAAAAAGGGGAGAAAGGGAGGGGGGTGTTGATAATGTTTGGAGGGAAAGGGGGAACATGATGATGA